GGGGCAGACTTATTGGTTGTAAAGTGGCCATGGAACACTTCAATAAATGTGAGTTTTAAAATCAAGGAAATCTTGGACGATTTTGCCCTTGCCTTAGGCCAAGCCCCCAATTATACCAAGTCAGCTATATGCTTTTCAAGAAACATTCACAATTGATGTAAAGAAAATTTGGCTAGGATCCTTAGAATTCCCCTCAAAGCGAAAAATAGGAATTCTTTAGGGGTCCCACTGATTGATGGGAGAGTTACCAATGATCTTCTTAAGCCACTCAATGAAAGTCATGAGAAAGCTTGTAGGGTGGAAGAAAGGCTTTCTCTCTCTTGCTGAGAAGCTTACTCTTGTTAGCTCAACCTCTAGTATGATCCCTTAGTTTGTCATGAGGTCCTCTAGAATTCCGAATAATGTTATTGAGAACATTGTTATGATGCAAAGGGAATTTATTTGGGCTAACAATAGTGGCAAAAAGCCATTGCACCTTATATATTGGAATGGAGTTTGACTTCTAAGGCTTGGGGTGGTTTGGCCTTAAAAATCTCAAATAGATTAGTAAAGCCTACTTAGCGAAACTTGGTTGGAATATCTTAATACAAAAAGATAATTTATGGGTTAAAGTGATTTTAAGTAAATACTTACAGCGTGAAACATTTATGGCAATCAAACTAATAAAATGGTATTTCTTAGGCTTGGAGGGGAATTCTTTCTACTAGGGATCTCATGATCAAGAGGGGGATGGGGTGGAATGTTGGAAATGGAGAAAGCATCAGCTTTTGGAAATGACACTTAGGCATGCCATACCCCTCCTATCAATGAGTTCAAGTAAAATAACATTGAAAACTGTGACCTGCTTGTATCCAACATAATTGATAAAGACAAAAATATATGGAAAGAGGAGATGATTGTCCCTAGTTCTGCCTGGTATAGGATTAAATTCATCCTAATCCCCTCAAGTGATGAGGAGGATAGTCTTGTGTGGAGACTCACTTCCTCGAGTAAATTTTCAGTCAAAACTGCCTACAATGAAGAATGTAAGGCTAATGATATCATGGGATCCACTAACAAAATGTTGAATAATATTTGGAGAATAAACCTCCCTCCAAAACTCAAAGTCTTCATGTATCTTGCCCTTAGTGGCAAGCTCCATACAAAGCAAAAACTTATTTGTAGAGGGTTCAATATTGATGGTGGATGTAGTTTATGTGGTGAGGATGAGGATTTGGAGCATATTTTGTGGAATTGTAGTTATGCTAAGCAAGTTTGGATGAGTGTATGCTTTAACCTTCCTGTGCCAACCAATGGGGACTCCTCTGTTTGTAACTGTGGGAGAGGATCTTTAAGCTAAATTATTAATATGTTGACCCTCAAATTAAGGAAAAACTTCTTGTCCTTTTTGTGGAAAAATAGGAATAACACTGTTTTAAAAATAAAACCACACCTCCTCCGATCCTTCTTGAAAATGCGCTCCATCTATTTTATGAATTTAACTCTAGTCTTTCTCGTGATGTTAGCACCAGAATATATCCTAGGAATGGCCTATCATGTGAAAAGCACCTAATTTTGGGGTCATCAATATCAACTTTGATGCATCATGTAATTTGGATGGGAAGTTGCAGTTCTTGAATTCAAAGTGTATTGCATTGGAATAACCAATATCAGTGTTGCATAAGCGTGGGCTGCTTGGGAAGCGTTAAACATTGTCACCAACATCAGGGATCACCCAATTTCGATTGAAGGAGACTCAAAGCTCGTCATCGACTGCCTTGCACCACCATAAAGGTTGAAGAATATAATCAAGGAGTGTCTTCATGTCAGCTCTCTCTTCTCTGCTCGAATTTGTTTCCGTCATCATTTTCGTGAGGAAAATCAAGCTGCTGATTGGTTTGCTTGTAATGCATATTTTCTAGAGAAAGTGTCAGCAGGGGATACGAAGGGATTTGAGGTTTATTTGATTCAGTGATTGTGGGGACGTAATGTACAAGCCCCGCCTTGTATAGCACCTTTCCGCTTACCCCCCTCCCAAAAAAGAAGCATTTTCATCTACCGTCCACCTAGAAACTGCATGCATCTCATTTGGTTTAATTATGAGAAGCTGGTTTTCACACACACATATATATATATACTCGTGCGAGTAGTTCCCATGTGAAAGCAATTCATTTCCTATTAATTATATAAATATTGTTATTACAATTATCTAATTATATAAATATATAATAGTTGTTATAAATATTGTTAATAACCAGATATAGAACCATTTGAACGGTTTTGATCGTTTTTTTTTTTATTTTTTTGTCAGAACGGGCCGATCGACCGTTCGAACCCGGTAACCAGACCCCTGACCAGTTCGGTCTCCGGGTCGGTTTTAAAAACCATGATGTTATGTCATTCGAGCATGTGACTCATACAACCTGAGAATTGAACCGTTCTGACCACCAGTTTTTGGGTCGACGATTCGACCGTCCGATTCAAACGGACGACCCGTTCTGACAACAAAAATTAAAAAAATAATAAAAAATAATAAAAAACCATTGAATGGGTCAATGGGTTGATGGTTCAACCACTTGAGTCAATGGGTCATTGACCGATTCAATGATTTTTGGCTAGAGACTGGGATTGGGGTAAAGCGAAACTAGTTGCTTGGATGGTACCCAATTAAAAAAAAAAAAAAAAACGGATGACCCGTTTTGACAACAAAAATTGCAGGCAAAAAATTGAGTGTGTGAGGTCCATTAAGCAATACCATAAGTGTTATGTCATTCGAGCATGTGACTCACACGACTTGAAAATGGAATCGTTCTAGCCACCGGTTTTTGGGTCGACAGTTCGACTGTTTGGTTCGAACAGATGGCCCGTTCTGACAACAAAAGCTAAAAAAATTAAAAAAAAAGACCAAAAACCACTGAGCGGGTCAATGGTTCGACCGTCCGGTTAAATGGAATCTACTCGTGCGGGTAGATTCCCACGTGAGAGCAACCCATTTCCTATTAATTATATAAATATTGTTAGATAAATATATAATAGTTATGATATATAATTATATATATATATTGTTATTATAATTATCTAATTATATAAATATATAATAATTATTATAAATAGTTAATAACTAGATATCGAATTGTTCGAACGGTTTTGACCATTTTTTATTTTTTTAATTTTTTTTTAAATTTATTCTTTTTGTCATTAACGGTCGGACCGTTTGACCCGGTAACCGGACCCCTGACCTGTTCGGTTTCCGGATCGATTTTAAAAACCATAATGTTATGTCATTCGAGTGTGTGACATACAACCCGAAAATGGAGCTGTTATGGCCACTGGTTTCCGGGTCGACGGTTTGATCGTCCGGTTCGAATGGACAACCCATTCTGACAACAAACATTAAAAAATAAAAAAGCGGCCAAAAACCATTGAACGGGTTAATAGTTCAACCACTCAGGTCAATGGGTCGTTGACCAATTCAATGGTTTTTTGCCAAGGATCGGGATTGGGGTAAAACGGAGCTGGTTGTTTGGACGGTTCCCAATTAAAAAAAATAAAAAATAAAACGAATGACCCATTATGACAACAAAAATTACAAGCAAAACTTTGAGTGTGTGAGGTTCATTAAGTAGTACCATACATGTTATGTCATTCGAGCGTGTGACTCATACGACATGAAAATGGAATCGTTCTAGCCACCAGTTTTCGGGTTGACGGTTTGACTATTCGGTTCGAATGGATGGCCCATTATGGCAACAAAAAAAAAATAAAAAACGACAAAAAACCATTGAACAGGCCAATGGTTCGATTGCCCGAGTCAATGGGTCATTGACCGATTCAATGATTTTTGGCCAGGGACCGAGATTAGGATAAAACGAAACCAGTTGCCTGGATAGTTCCCAATTAAAAATAAATAAAAAACGGCCAAAAACCATTTTACAGGTCAATGGTTCAACCACTCAGGTTGTTGACTGATTCAACGATTTTTGACTAGAAACTAGATCAACGGTTCCATTCTAGCCCCTACGAAGCAGGGCCCCTCTGCTAGTGCTTAATTATTCGCATTGCAGGGTAACGAAGAACAACTCAAAAGGGTGGCTTTTACAGTTGCTGGATCAAGTATCAAACGATCTACACTCTCTACGTTTTTCACTCGCCAAGTGCTTGATAGAGCAAACACCTTCAAACCAAGTGACCAAATACCATCAAACCTCCCCTAAAGATATTTTAGACTCTTGTAAAGACTTATATTTCTTTATCTTTTTCAGGTAGGGAAAGCAATTTGCTGATCCATAACTTGGCAAAAAAAGGTCTCTCGGACTCGGGGGCATATATGCCTTTATGGCTAGCTAATTGGGTGGACTTCCACCCTAATCGCATTGCCTGAAAGTTGGAAAATATACAAGTGGCAGCAACCGTTCTAACGGCTTGACAATTCCAAAATCGGACCGAAGCATTTTATTATTCTAAAGTCTTACTTTAAGGGTGCAAAGGTCATAAGAACCACTCGACGAGGGGTTTTAATATAATATTATAAAAATAGTCAAAAAGCAAAACTTTTCAGGAGATCTCTGATGCCCCTTCTTACACGAGTCTGTGTCTGCGTGATGAAAGCGACCCCTAAATTTTTAATTCTTCTTAATTTTGGCTTTAACCCCGTCCTCCCTCATTTTCAATTTTACCTCCACTTAAAACATCGTTTTGGCACTGTAATTTTCGGAAAGAATAGAGGTATTTTTATAATTTTAATAAATGTTAGGGTCACTTTTGTAACTCAGGGAAAAAATGGAAAAAGTTGAAAAGCTCTGGCAAATTTATATTGGTCGGCCGTGTCACTTAACTAGCTCACATCTTTTCAACGTTACAACAAATATTGACCGTTGATCTGATCCATGAGAATGATCCCAGCCGTTCAAGCTCTCATCCTTTACTCCGAAATAGTCGAGGTCTATTGAATGTTGTTAGGGCTTTCATCATGGCAAGAAAACGTGGTGGGTTGATCATAGATCCGACGGATGACATTAATCGAGGTCGTCGTGTAACGCAGTTGCATTTTTATTTCTTTTAATTTTGTGTTTTTTCGTTCTAAACCCTAGGCTTGTAGACCCGATGAAACCCTAACTCATCCTCATTTTTTACGGTAAAAACTGAAATTTCTGGAAAGATCGACGAATTGGTGGGTTTGCATGCGAAAAAGGACGGATTTGAAGCGGACGATCGATGTTTCCTGCAAATAATTTTCCGATCGGAGCGCAGAAATGCTTCACTCCAGGCGATTTCCAGGTATGTTGTTTTTGCCCTTGTTTTGGTAGTCGATTCATTTTACTTGTACGAACAATTTGGATCTTGATGGAAGATCGCTTTGTTACATTTGCATGTCTTTAGGGGTCAGTTGTTGGAGTTTTATCTGATATTGGTTTCCAAATTCTGGTGTCAGATCTGAAACTAGGGCTTGGATTAGCGAAACATGTATGATAGAAGATGAAAAATTGGGGGTTTTGGTTTTTCTTATGTGGTTCGAGGTTTCGTAGATGGAAAATAGCATAGACAACTCTCATGCCTCTGAAACTTCTAAGAAATCTAGATCTTTGGATCTTCGAAGCCTCTACGTTGATAAAACTGAGGTTTCTGTTCGTAAGGAAGGACCCGCAGGTGGAGTGTTGAAGAGGAAAAGACAGGAGTTGGTAGATAACGAGTTAGATATTGGGCAGGGGAAGAAGAAAAGGAAGAGCCGGAAAGAGGTTTCACTCAGTAGTTTTGAGCCCTTTAATAAGAACAGAAAGGTTTTAGATTCAGTACAGGGCAATTGTTTGAATTATGGATCCCCAGATTCAAACAATTCCAATTCGAAGTTAAGGAAGCTACTTTTGGGCCCGAAGAATCAAGCAAAGAAGAAAAATACTCAACTTCTGGGGAACGGAGATATTCAGACTTTGAGTAGTCTAGGCAATATTTCACATAAATTGGATGATAATATCCCAAAACGACCTCGAGGTTTATTAAGGCGTAAGAAATTCCAAAACAATCATGACTTGGACCAGGTGGGTGTATCAAGTAGTACAGTCAGCTTTGATGCACAGAAATTTGAGTTAAATGGCAACTCTGTCAAGATAATTCCTTCCTGTGAGGGAAAACTGAAGAAAGCTTTAGGTGATTTAAAGGAAAATAGCTCCAGTAGGGCAAATCCAGCTCGGTTTGTGAAGCTAGATGATATCAGTGCTCTTAGATACAATGGCAATCCATCCCCCAAAAGGGTTCACAAGTATCAAGGAAAGAGGTGGGAATCAGCACCAGAGAAGCAAAACCATATAGCTGATAACTCTGACAAGATCAGTGAAGATTTGCAAGAAGATGATGAGGAGAACCTTGAGCAGAATGCTGCAAGAATGTTGTCTTCTCGGTTTGATCCTAGATGTACTGGATTTTCTGGGGATAGCAAAGCTTTGTCTGCGTTACAATCTATGGATGGGTTATCATTTGTGCCATCAGATCATCAAGATTTTGATAGTTGTGGGGCAAATCATTCCGGTGGGTCTGAATCCACCTCTGCTGATGCTGCAGGCAGGGTGTTGCGTCCTAGGAAACAACACAAAGAGAAGGGCATTACAAGGAAGAGGCGACATTTCTATGAAATATTTTTTGGGGACTTAGATGCATACTGGGTTTTAAACAGGAGGATCAAAGTTTTTTGGCCTTTGGATAAGAGTTGGTATTTTGGCATTGTTGATAAATATGATCCAGAAAGGAAGCTGCATCATGTTAAATATGATGACCGTGATGAAGAATGGATTGACCTCCAAAAAGAGAGATTCAAACTCCTGCTACTCCCCAGTGAAATTCCTGGTAAATCTGGTCCACAAAAATCAGTGCAGAGAGATAAATGTGTGCATGAGGAAGATGTGAATCCAGAGAATGACAATTGTATAGGAAGCTATATGGATTCGGAGCCCATCATCTCATGGCTGGCTCGATCAACTCGCCGTGTCAAATCTTCCCCACTTGGAGTTCTGAAGAGGCAGAGAACATCTTGTCCATCTGAAAAGCAAGTGCTACCTATTGCTGATGATTCTGCTGGTCCTCCACCATATAGAAATGAGTTGTTTAGAAATTCTGTATTGCCAGATAGATTATTTCATGGAGAATTGGCTGAAAAAACAACAGCTAGCACTACATGCTCCAATGACAGAAGGCTACCCTTAGTTTATTTCAGGAGGCGGTTTCACAAGAAAGGACAGGGATTGGGCTGTCGGTCTGAAGAGACTCCTGGATACAGAAGTGCTGGTGGGTCTGCTAGCTCTCTTGCTTCTGTTGTTGACTGGGTAGGGGCTTTGGATAAACATGATGTTGCTCTCCAAGTCACTGGTTTTAAAGATTTGAGACCTCTGGGTCATGATAGCATATTATGGTCTGATGAAAACGTTGGGTTGTTGAAATTGACTGATCCGTTGTTGAAATTAAAACAAGTGAAATTGAGGCTAAGCTTCTTCCCTCGATGGATCCACATTCTTTCATTTGAAGCAGAAAAAAATTGGCTGTTTCGCACTGTAATGCTGCTTCATTATGGTGCAATAATGACTTTATGGCCAAAGGTTAATTTGGAAATGCTTTTTGTTGATAATGTTGTTGGGTTGAGGTTTATATTATTTGAAGGCTGCTTGATGCAGGCAGTAGCTTTTATATGTTTGGTCCTGACTGTATTTCACCAATCCAATGAGTATGGGAACTGTGTAGATCTTCAGTTGCCAGCAACTTCAATCAGGTTTAAGCTTTCAGGCTTTCAGGATCTTGGAAGACACTTTGTGTTTGTTGTCTACAACTTCTTGGAGGTAGAAGTTTCGAAGTGGCTGTACCTGGACTCTAAACTGAAGAAATACTGTTTGATCAGCAAGCAGCTTCCTCTTCCTGAATGCACATATGATAATATTAAGGTCCTTCAAAATGGCAGTGCTTGGTTGCGAGTTCCTTCCATTTGTGAGGGACCCATCTCTCATGAGGTAACTGTTTTTTTTTAATTTTGTTTTCCCCAACTTAGTTGCATATGATCTGCTTGGTTTGTGCCTTGTTTCCAATCCCCCTTTCTTTGTTATAAAATCCCTTTTATTTTTTTTCCTAATCCACTTATATTTTCTGCTGAGTACAAAAATAGTTTACTAAATGTTTAAAAAATCATCATGATCTAATCCTTTCTCATCTATATGAGGTGAGCTACTGAGCTACATAAATCCTGTTTCACCATTCCAAATGTTTTAACAATGATATCTGTTTGCTTTATCTAAAGAATCATTATAGTTTGGTGTTAACTTCATATTCTTTTGGCTACCAACCAGGGTGTAAGGAAGAGATCTAGGCATGCTATTTTGCAAATGGGCATCTCCAAAGAATTAGCTCGTATTGACTTAAGCTGTTCAGATTCGAATTCCAATGGGAAGCATTGGCGACTTCCTTCTTTTGTTCTTTCTTTTGCTGCTGCACCTACTTTTTTCCTTAGCCTGCATCTCAAGCTGCTTATGGAAAATAATGTTGCATCTATGAGCTTCCAGAACCTCAATTCAATGGCCTTACTGAGGAGCGTAGACTGTGGCAATTTGGCATGTGACGATAGCTCTGGTGTTGAGGATATCCCTAACCAAGTACCCAAAATTGCTATTGAGAATAACAGTGGGAGTACCTTGAATCCAGCTGCTAGGTGTAGACAGTTGTCTTCTACTAAATTGGAGGTAGAGACTGATGCTCTCTCCATAAGAAATGATGGTGATTGGATAGAGCCTTCACAGATATGCTTAAATGGTGAGCTTAATGTTACTGGAACTTCTGTAGGTCCCAAGGGTTCAGGGAAGAATGAGATTGATGGCACTATTGGAATGCAAGGTCATCTGTGTCATCATGCAGGATCAGAACTGCTTGCTGAAAGATCATGGCCTTCAGTTATGGAAGATCATTCTTCTCCAGATAAGACTGAAAGCAGGTGCTTCTCTTCTTTGGGTGGTGTTGATATTCAAATTCCATATACTGGGCAAGTTGAAAGTCAGCCTTTTGATGGGGGAATGCAGAATAATCATCAGTCTACTTCTGGTTCAACATGGATTATGAATGACTTTGGCATTCAAAGTCCAAACCCCACTGCACCTCGAAGTGTATGGAATCGGAACAGACATAGCATTGGTTCTCCATCACTTGGCTATCATTCAAAAGTGTGGCCTGATGGAAAGGCAGACTTTGTCCTGAATGGCTTTGGGAATGGTTCTAGGAAGCCAAGAACTCAATTCTCATGTTTGTTGCCGTTCAGAGGTCATGAATTTGGCTCAAAGCCAAGAAGCCATCACCGCAAAGGGCGCCCACATAAAGGGATTAAGACTGACGATGAGAAGAGGATGTCTGGTGGGTCTAGAAGTCCAAAAAGACACCCAGAATTGTTATCTTGTGATGCGAATGTTTTGATTACTGTTGGGGACAGGGGGTGGAGAGAATGTGGGGCACAGGTTGTGTTAGAGTTTGTTGATCATAAGGACTGGAGGCTTCTGGTTAAACTTTCAGGGGCTACACGGTATTCATATAAGGCTCACCAGTTTCTGCAGCCTGGGACAACAAACCGCTATACTCATGCTATGATGTGGAAAGGAGGGAAGGATTGGATCTTGGAATTTTCTGAGAGGAGTCAGTGGGCCCTTTTCAGGGAGATGCATGAAGAGTGCTACAATCGAAATATTCGTGCTGCCTCCATTAAGAATATCCCCATTCCTGGGGTTTGCCTGATTGAAGATGGTGATGATAATGCAATAGAGGTACCATTTATTCGAAGTTCATCCAAGTATTTTCGGCAAGTTGAGACTGAAGTTGACATGGCTATGAATCCATCACATGTTTTGTATGATATGGAAAGTGATGATGAGGACTGGATTTCAAAACAACGAAGTTCTTTGGATGTTGATGGGAGTAACCTGCCAGAGATTTCTGATGAGACATTTGAAAAAATAATGGACATGTTTGAGAAAATTGCATATGCTCGGAAGTGTGATAACTTTTCATCTGAGGAAATAGAGGAGCTCATGGTTGGAGTGGGGCCTGTTGATGTTATTAAAGCCATTTATAAGCATTGGCAGCAGAAGAGGCAGAGGAAAGGAATGCCTCTGATCCGGCAATTCCAGGTAAAAGCACTCGAGTCACCCATAATAAATAATCATGCTTTTCATGTTTTGGATTGCATATTTCCTCATGGAATCTTGTTAGTGATAAAAAACCTTTCATGGAATTTAACCTCATTCTTTTGAGAGAAAAATTAACTTGATATAGAAAGAAAAGAGAGTACATGAGATGATGTACAAGTCAGGCTACACATAGGTTACAAAGGCATATTTCTATCATTGTACAAGTTATCCCTGTGTATACCAGATTTAGCCAAGCTATCAGCTACAGAGTTTAATTCCCTAGGAATCCAGCAAATGTTTACAGATAAGGATTTTAACAAATCTCTAGCCTCGTTCAAATAGTGAGCCAATCTCCAAGGTCTTCCTTCCTTCTCCCCAAGCCACTTTATCGTGTTGCTGGAGTCTCCAAATTTAACCTCATTCTTGTTGCATGCTTCCACCTTATTTCCTCTTCTCTCTTTCTCTCTCTCCCTTTAATAGTAGAAAGAAACCCCTGCTATTAGAGGATCAAAAAGCATGGAATGTTATAGATACAGAAAGCATGAAGAAAAACAAAAACAAAAACAGTACAGAGCATAGTAGGGTTAAGGAACTGGACAATGATATTTCTCTTTCATGATGTGTTTGCATTTGGGCCTTTGGGGGTAGATACGTTTGATATATTTTCTTTTTCTTACCCATCTTTTTGACCCTTTGTGGGGCTTGGAGATGTTTAATGAAGGGGTTGTGCTGCTGGGGAGTTTTTTCATCTTGTGACTACTTGTCATTAGGGAGGGGGCGGGGAGCAACATGGTCCAGGTTAACCCGAACCAACCCAAAAAGTAGGGTAGTTTATGGTTGATGCTTTGGGCAATGTGACCCAACCTGAGCTCTGACATGTCTTTATGTTTGCATTGTATAAATATGTGCATGTGCATGTATTCATACATCCATGCATGTATACATGTATTTGTATCAATAATTTTAAATTTGAAGGCAAAGATTTTTTAGTATAGCATAAGAATGGTACTCCTGAAGTACCATAACTTTGTACCTACATATATGTCGTTAACCTAATTGGACAATCCTAAGTTTAAGAAAGCTTAAGAAGTGAGAACACTTTTTTAAAGCAAATAGAAGTGAAGGAATTGGGCTAATTCGAGCCTAATCTGAGCCCAATTGATCCCAACCTAATTCAAAGTCATCTCTTGTCTAGAAGTAAAAGGGGATTCAGTACTCTTGGCTGGGGGAAGGGGAAATAAAACCCCGATACTAATACAATTGATTTCTCCCTACTCATCGTCTTGTTAAATTATCATCTCTGCTATTGGCTGATCTTGGTACCTTATAAAACTTGCTCCTTGCTCCCTTGCCATTTTCAAAACCTATGTTTTTCTTCAAAAATTGCACAAGGGCGATCCTCCATATGCTTGAGCCTTTCTTTCTCAAAACATATATGCTGATATCGTTGAGAAGCTTCCAATCAACTTTGAAGGTGAGAAGAAAGAAATCCCAAAGCATCCCTTAAAACTAGCAATAAAAAGAAATCCCTTGAAACCTGTCAATCAATGATCAAGTGAGTCCATGTCTCTGTAGTGCAAGGTGTGAAAGTTGGTTTCTCTCTTGGTCTTGGCAGATTGTTTGTCAAAGGAGACTCACAGGTTGTTGTTGGTTGGATGCTTTTGTTCACAAGTGGACTGTGTCACCTGATTAGAGAAGACCCCTGCTATCAAGTCTGTGTAGCTTGTTCAGACTTCAGATGGATCCCAAGATCAGCAAACTCTGTGGAACATGTCTTGTCTAGAGAAAATGGGTGGGAGAGCACAACTGTATTGGGGGCTTTAAACTTTATGTTAGAGCCGACACAGCCCAGGTCCATCATGCCCGAGACCCAGTCCAGGGTATTCCTCAAATCAACTGTTCGATACCACCTCTGAAATTTGTTTACACATACTGTCCACGTCAGGAGAGCTAAACATGATTCTGTTAGCAGTCACTATCCTTAGCTACGTGAAGTATAAACATCTTGTAATAAGCTTGGAAAAGATATGAATGAGAAATCTTATTTCCTCCTCTTCTCTCTTTCTCTCACACTCTTCTTCCTCTTCTTCTCTTTTCCGTTCCGATCCATTCAGGAGGTTGAGCTCCCTCGAACCAGCTCATTGCAGTATTCCTCAACTTGCCGGATAAGTTACCTATTACTTTAAGCCCTGGATGGATGGATTGCATTGCTATGTAGTCAGTGCTATATCTTCCCTTATTTGAGGCCCACTTATGGTGTATCTTTTCCTTGTTTGATTTTCTTTTTATTAACCATTAGTAAATATTATTGATAAAATTCATTAAAAAGTCTGTTTGATCATTTTATGGATCCCTCCACCCCCAAGAAAAAGTAAATCCAGTCTTCCTCCTGTGTCCCACTTTGTTTATCTAAACCTTTGTTGCCTTTTTTTTTATTTATTTTTTATTTATTTTTGAATTTAAGCTTGTTTCCTATAGCCACTATTGACATTAAACTTCCACTCTTGGGGGAATAAGAAATTCCCAAATAAATCCCTGAATTTTTTCTTCCTTTCTTGAGACATGGATTGCCATCTAATGGGATTATTGTTTGTCTGACCGTGAATACCAGGTTGTGTTCTTTCTTCAATGTGTGCTTGCCCCTTGTTACATTCATAAGTGCCTGTTTGGGAGGGCTTTCGGGACAGCTTCTGTCATTCCAAGCTGGGCTCCTCACAGGAACACCAGAAGCTGTGTTTGGTGAAAATCCGGAAAGCTGATCACTTTGTTCTAGACGCCAGAAACACAGCTGAATTAGGAAGCTACTCCTGAACATGGGTGCTCAACCACCAAGGCTGAATCACCACACTTCGCCTCCAATACAGAAGCCCTCCCAAACGGGCTCTAAATCTTCCAAGTATCCATGTGCATCATACTTCATGAGAAGACACAATGGAGCTACTTATTTTGTGGTCAAAGCCCATAGCCATAGGTTAAGGTTGAGTGTTCCAATTTTCCGTCTTTTTATCCGAAAATTCCCTCATTTTAACTGAGATATGCATATAGAACCACACTTCCAAAATATTACAGAATTAAGTGAATATTTATAGTTTTATACAATTTGGACATGTATTTTATTACAGAACCATGCTTACAAAACCCATCAATTAAGTTTGCTATAATAAAAATATTTGATCTTCTCATTTTTTATGTGTCGTTTCTAGACAATTTGGCCATTTTTTTCCTTGGTTTGATTGGTCATGCACAATATTTTAAGAGGTGTAGGAGGCCTACACCTGGAGGCATGCTTCCAGGCGGGGCCGCAGGGCACCTCAAAATACCCTGAGGCGCATGCTGGAAGCGTTGATGCCTCCGAGGCTTACATCTCAAGTGCATGAGGATTGAGGCATATGCCTCAAATGCCTCTGAGGTGTTCATGTTTTGTGTTCTTCTTGATACAAAACATCTTTCATAAAAAAAAAAAGAATTCCCCCTCCGTGTGTCCGTCCGTCTGTCCTCCTCTTGAAGAGGCTTATGCCTCCTTATGCTCAGGAGGTTTATGCCTCTTGAATTTTGAACTATGCCTTTGAATAGAACCCAGCCCACTCCACCTGCTGGGTGTGCTCCAGATCCGAGTCCAGACAAACCTAGGAACAGCCTTGGTACCCCACCACCACGCTTGACCTCGCCAACTAAGCCTATCATTTGGTATGTTTACCTTAGAAAGCCACATTGTTTTTGATAGATACCTTAGAAAGCCACATTAGGCTACTGGGAATAACTAACTGCTCATGGCTTCACATGTAAAGCTTTAAGTGTTAGCAGGGCAATGGAATTGGCATGAGAAATTTCCCACTATTCTTCTGTCTTCTACTTCTTAAGAGGTTGAGTCACCCTCAAAGGCGACTCTTGTGTGAACAGTAACTCAACAATTGGTATTAGAGCACCGATCCATGCCCAACACCAGACCGGTCTCATTGGAAGACAATGTAGATAGGATTGAGGTTAGCTTACACAAATTTGAAGGCGATCTGGGAGATATCAAGAGGCCCTATTGGTGATAATGTCTCAGCAAAACAGGACCAGCACTGATGGGGGAAGAGATCCAGATAACAAAGCGTCCACCGGCGGCAACAATCGAAAGATGGTGGGTGCTCAAAGAAAGCTATGTGGCTGCATTTCTCAACTTTTTTCTGGCGAGGATCCGATGGCTTGGATCTTCAAGGTTAGTTTTAGTTCATGAGATGCTGGCGTACCACAGGGTCATCATTGCCTCCATCTACCTGGAAGGTGCAGCTGGTTCTTCAATGGACCCCAATATCAACCAATGGTTTAGCAGATCAGTTAGCAAAGCAAGGGGTAAACAGGGAACAGTGCTTTTGGGCTAATTTGTAAAGTGAAAAGTAACTGATGTCCTTTGATTGAGTTTGTGTGGGGGTAGCCGAGGCTACCTAGAAGCTGTAATTCTCTCTGTTTTATTAATAAATTTTCTGTTACTGATAAAAGAAGAGGTGAGGCAATATCATGGTTTCAATGGTACAAAATTCTCACCCCCATGTTACCTGGTCTGATTTCACGGAGTTGTGCATGCGATTTGGGTTGTCAACCTACATTGATTATGATGAAGCTCTGTCGAAACTGAAGCAGACCACCCATTGTTCATGAGTATCTGTGGAGTTTGAGAAATTATCAATCCGTGTCACTGGCTAGATGGAGGCCTTGGTTGGAAGCTTTGTGGGAGGCCTCTGGGAAGACATCTGCTTGGAGGTCAGAGCTTGGCGTCCCATGACTGTCTGCGGCAGCTGCTCTAGCTCGTATTCAAGAGGAGAAGCTGGACTGACTTAAGAAGGTGAATCAGAGTTCTGGCCTGCTCTTGAAGACCCCGCCGGTTTGGGTGGAACCCACAATGGTGAAGAATAGTGGGACTGTAGGCCCAAGTAGCATGCCCTTCAAACGGTTAACATGGGCCAAGATGTAGGCTTAATGTGAGAAGGGATTATGCTACAACTGCAAGGAGAAATTTGCACCAGGCCACTGCTGTAAGGTCCAACAAGTTTATTTTCTGCAAACCAACGAGCTTCCTGAGGAAACGGACCACATTGAGGAAGGTATGTCCACTAAACTGGATGAGATGGGCCCTTAATGGGTTGGAGACCCCAGGAATTTCTCTTCAGGCTCTCATGGGCCGAAATTCAACCTGGATCATGAAGGTAGAAAGGCATGGGCTGGGCTGCTGAGGAAATGGACCACATTGAGGAAGGTATGTCCACTAAACTTGATGAGATGGGCCTTAGTGGGTTGGAGACCCCAGAAATCTCTCTTCAGGCTCTCATGGGCTGAAATTCAACCTGGACCATGAAGGTAGAAAGGCATGGGCCGGGCTGTTATAATCTTGATTGATAGTGGGACTTTAAATTTCATTAACATTGGGCCGGCAAAACAAATGGGCCTTGTTATACACTCCACCGTGCAATTCTCAGTCCAGGTGGCTAATGACCATTAGCTGACTTGTGATGGCCTGTGTAAGGGGGTGAAGTTGAAAATCCAAGGGAAATGGTTGACAACCGACCTGTATACCCTGGATTTCAGCGGGACAGACATAGTGTTAGGGGTGCAATGGTTGCGACTACCGGGTCACGTGGTGTGTGACTGGAACCACCTCACCATGGAGCTTTAGTTGAATGGGGTGGATCATCTGTTTTAGGGGATTAAACCGGGAATGGTGCCGTTAGGAAACCAAGAAGCTGACTTGAAATGCTGCCAGGGTCCAGTAGCTTGTTCTTGTGCAATTGGGCCTCATCATGACAGACCCAATCTTTCCTGCAACTGATGGAAACAAAAAAGTAGATCTGGACCAATTGTTACAACAGTTTAAGGATGTTTTTGAGCAACCCAAGGAGCTTCCCTCGACCTGAGCCCAAGACCATTTCGTTCCCGTACAATCCAGGTCCCCACCAGCTAATGTGAGGCACTACCGGTATCCCCACTTTTAGAAGACTGAAATAAAGAAGATTGTTTAGGAGATGTTGGACAACAAAATAATTCAACCCAGCACCAGTCCATTCATCACTAGCCCTACTAGTCAAGAAGAAGAAGGATGGGACTTGGCGGTTTTGTTTGGATTACCGGGCCCTCAACCACATAACCATCAAGGACCGGTTTCTCATTTCGGTTATAGATGAGCTTCTAGATGAGTTAAGGATTGCACATGGCTTCACATGTAAAGCCTGTAAGTATCACCAAACCAATGGAATTGGCATGGGAAATTCCCCACTATTCTCCTATCTTCTTCTACTTCTTATGAGGTTGAGTTGTCCTCGAAGCCGACTCCTGTGTGAGCAGTAATTCAACAGCCTCACACCTCCAGGTAGTGGAACACCTTGCGTCACACCTTCATTTTTTAAAACATTGGCCATGCTCATGCATTTGCAAGTTTGTTGCCTAAATGTGAAGATTCACATTGCTTCTATCTTTTGTTCCATTTTGGTGGGTGGAACATTATGAGTACTTTTTGCGTGAGCATTGTTTGGTTCAAGTGGCTTCTCCCATTTTTTATGTCATGCAAAATATTCCAAGAGGGTCCAATAAAAAAGATCGTAGAGGGCAGAGATGCAGTGCATTGATCATGTTTAAGTCTTTAAGACAGCCATCTGACCATCTAGATCGTTGGAAAGGTGAACTGTAACCAAACACCAACATCATTTTGTTTTATTCTTATTCTTTGCTATATTACTCATATATTCAGTTTTATCAAAACGTCCACTTTTAGTTGCTTTAATCTTGTTAAAATGGGTTTGAATGAGTAGTTTTTGTTTTAGTGATGAAAAATACTAGTTTTTTCTTTCCTTTTTTTTTCTTTTTTTTAATTCCTTTTGGAGGGCTACACAACGGGGGGTAGTCCATAACCCCCTGACCCAGGTGCAGGCGGGAATCGTGGGATTCAATCCCTAGTCTCTGCTACAACCAGCAGGAGACCTTACCAACCAGCTGGTTGGCACCTTGCAATATCTTTTATTCCCTATTATCTTCTCTTTGTATTTGGTGAAACATCTTTTTTGTGTATTTGTGTGTAAAACCAACAGCAAACCTCTCTGGCTATTGATTCTTGCAAAATGTCCTGTAGCATCATAGCAAGCATGGCTTCATCATCCTCTTCTTTGCTTACAAAACTTTCAAATGCTGTTATCTTCAATCATTCATCTGGGATAGCTAGCTACTTAAGATTGGTCCTAATGTTCCCTTTCTCTTGGTGCTCCCTTTCTTCAAGTGTTGAGAGATATTCTTGAACTCTAGCACCAACACCAAGTAAAAAGTCTTTCGGTTTCTTAATTGGCACCACTCCTGTACAGAGTTTCTTAGTTCACATTCTGGGCTTCGATCCTTCTCACATTGTCAATCTGTTTCTTCAGATTCTATCCCCTCTGTTTCCTGTACTTGGCTTGAGTTGGTGAAACTTCCTACCTGACTGATGAAAAAAAAAGAGGGTGGGGGGGGGTTCATAACAAAAGAGCTTGGCATCCATCACCCTCACCTAATCAGGAACTGGAATGACTAATGAAGAACAGTGAATAGATCCTCCAGGTATTTAAGCAAATCTCTCTCAGAATAGAGCCAGGGGATTTTCGATGACCTGTCTCTAATATCTTCTGGTATAGGGTTTGCAAAAAGGTAAAACCAACAGTGATTCTCCAGGCTCCATTTTTCAATTCCCCATCTTTTCTATCCTTGTATAGATGGCACTGGTTCAAAGGTTGATCTGTACTACCACTACTGAATTACTGATTTCAGGGCACAATAGTGCTCCACAGTATTGATTTGAAGGATTTACTTTCCTTTAGGCTGCATTTATTTCTCTGTGTAACAAACAAATTTTTTCAAAGTAAAAAAATACTTCAGCTATTATTTTCACCCTTTTAGAAAAGAACGACAAGAAAATAAAGTTTTTGCTATAAAAGAGTGAAAATATGGCCAAATATTTCAGCCTGAAGAAATTTCCATACATTTCACATTGACAAATGGAGCTTTGAGAACTTAATTTATCGAGTAAAATCTTATTTTTTTATCACTTGTTCTGAAAGGCTGAACCCCAGGTTGGTTTGATTCAATTTAAATGGTTAGATCCATTTTACTGTAAGAACTTTTTTGTAGCCAAGGTTCAAAATATCGATACACCCCTATACGGTGGAAGGGGTGTATCAGTGGTACTTTGGACATAACGCTCACTACTTTTTTTCGTGAGTCTTTTTTTTCCCCAAAATTTGGGATAGGGGTGGGAATAGCTTCTAAAAACAACCTTAAAAGCAATGTATCGGTGGCGATATGGGCTGATAATACATTGCAAAAATATTATTCTTGTTTGTAGCTGCTTATTAAATTCCCTGTTCTCTATTTCATTTATCTGTTTGTTTTCTCTTCTGGTTTTTGTGAATGATCAATATATTTTTTGGGAAAATTCCTGATTAGTACCCTGTACTTTGGGCCTAGTGCCACTTTGGTCCCTGAATTTTGAAACACGACAGTTTAGTTCCCAAAATTTCAAAACATGCCAATTTAGTACCTACCGCTAACCAACCGTTAAGTGGCATTTGAAAAGACACAAATGCCCTTCCAGTGTCATCTAATTTTCTTTATCAACCATCCAAGTGCTCATAAAAAATGAACAGTCCCAAATCCTTGCCTCTTCTATTCAAGAAAGTTGGGTTCACCAGAATGCCCACTGAGATGTGACCCCAACTTTCTTGAGTAGAAGAGGCAAGGATTTAGGACTGTTCATTTTTTTGTCAAGGTTTGGATGGTTGGTAAAGAGAATTAGATGACATTCAAAGGGTATTTGTCTTTTCAAATGCCACTTAACGGCTGGTTAACAGCAAGTACTGGATTGACACGTTTTGAAAGTTCGGGTACTGAATTGTCACATTTTAAAGTTCGGGGACCAAAGTGGCACTAGGCCCAAAGTACAGGGTACTAATTGGGAATTTTCTCATACTTTGAGGTATTGCTTTGTGAATTACAGCTTCTAAGTTTCTTCCCTTTTGTTTGATCCAGCCTCCTCTATGGGAAAAGTACCAAAAGGAAGTTAAAGAGTGGGAATTGGCAATAAATAAAATACACCTCCCCAATGGAGGGAAAGAGAAGGCTGCAATAATTGAGAAGCCACCTATGTTTGCTTTCTGTATGAGACCACGAGGTTTGGAAGTGCCAAATAAAGGTTCAAAACAAAGGTCTCAAAGGAAGGTCCCAGTTGGTGGGCACAACAATGCTTTCTCCAAAGATCATGATGGCCTCCAAGTTTTAGGTAATTTATTCCCTATCCACCATCAACTTCATGTCGGTTAACATTATTGTCCTGGAATTATGACAGTTGCTTTGTAAATTTTCTTGTGTTGTAGCAGGTAGAAAATTAAATGGGTTTTCCTTTGGAGAGGAGAGGGTTGTTGTTATTGGCCAGAACCATGAATCTTCAGATTCTTCCCCATGGATCCAGACAAGAGTGTTATCACCCCGAGATGCAGTTAGCATTAGTTATTCGTCAATGAGCAGTGATATTTCTGAGAGGAATCATCACCCTAAACTTCACAGAAACAAGTCGAAGAGGGCAGGGACGTTTCTAGTTCCCGGTGATTCACAAATGAAGTCATATGATCAGAGAATTACTGATAAAAGAAATGGGGTAAACCGATGGAGCATGGGTTTCCCTGAGTGGCCTAGCCAGAAGCAATACCAACCAGAAGCATCCCAGAGACGTAGAGTTGAACAGCTGTCTGCCTCTGATCTTGATGAATTCAGGTTGCGGGATGCATCAGGTGCAGCTCAGCATGCATTCAACATGGCCAAGCTCAAGCGAGAAAAAGCTCAGCGGTTACTTTACAGGGCAGATCTTGCAATCCACAAGGCTGTGCTTGCACTTATGACAGCTGAGGCAATAAAAGCATCATCTGAGAAGGAATCCACTGATGATGGGTAGGTCCATATGAATCTAACACGACCTGGACATAATTCCAGTAAGTCATCCCAGGCAATAGCAACCACTTTGGTTGCCAGATAGGAATCTGGTGCTTTTGCTTGAGTGAGGCAGCCTTACGTTTGCTGCTGGACGCGGAGTTTAACATGGGGGACCATTCCAAGTGAACTCTTGACAAGGTGCATGCGAGCAATGAGAGTCAGGAAGTGAGGCAGTTTTGTTGCACAGTTTCCAAGCCTCCCCCCAGAAACATTTCCAATGTCGTTTAGTATTTCTTATTAGATGGGGAGAGTACTAATGATCCTGGAGGCGGAAGGAAAAGGGTGTGTAGAATTTTTGTTGCTTATCCTTGTACATAATTTTTTTTCTTTGTTCTGGTCAAATATTTGGCAATGATAGTGCAATTGACCAAAATAATACAGTATACCCTCTGGAATTAAACAAAAATATCCATTTGCCTTGATATTTTGGACTCTGATTGTGAGTGGATGTTGGTCTTTGGGGATTTACTTCTATAAGTTGCAATGGGGGTATGATATCGGTTACCCAAGAGAAAAAGAAAATTCAGAAAGGAAAACTAAATTTCTGTGAGTATTATCTATCTGTACAACAATTTTGGAAGGTCTGTCCGCATGAATGCATGATACAAAGTGGGGAGAGGAGAAAGCGATATTAAATTACTAATCACGTAACTACAATCCATAAAGTTACATTATGCTGTTCTAATTTCTACCAAGGAATTTGCCCTGTAACGGGAAGCGAGTCAAAGGTTCTTTTCAACTCGTATTATTATAGCTAGAACCTCACAAAGTGGCACGCTGAGTAGACAAACTTCTTAAGTTTGAGAACGAGGTAATCTTTTTGAAAATCCCAATCAAAATCAATACCTTTACAGCAATAAAAAATTTATTTCTATCTCAATCTGGATCGGATTAGGCAAGTATCTTCTCAGTTCTCACCAATCGAACAACCTTTCATTTCCCGGGAATGCAATGACCAGTAATCAATGAGAACAGTTGAGACTCGGAGTATTCAAATTTGTAACTGGCAACAACCTCAAGAGTCCTGGCGTTTATGCGAAGTTGCATCAGATTTCCCAAGAATGATGAAGGAAACCCACTGTAGCTCTTACTTGATTCTCATGCACTTGAAGAGGACCTCTGCAAATCTCTTGTACATGTGACGCTTTAAGTACATCTTCTCTACTTTTTTCCTTCCTCTGATTCCCATCTGTACTCTCTCCGATGGATTCTTAAGCATATAATGGAGATTTTGGGCAAGAGCTTGAGTTCCTGAACGCCCAAGAGGATGAAGACGACCTGTTACATTGTGATTAACAATTTCCCGTGTGCCTCCAGCATCTGTTCCAAGCACCTGCACCACAGAAAAATTTGTTGTCAAAGCCTACTTGTTTATATTTGGTGACTTCACTGCATATTATTATAGAATGTCCTTTTAGATTAGAGGACATGGCTGTTGGATTCATACAAGGATTAAATCATGGGCATGCCCTAGCAGAGTCACCAAAAAGCAAGATTCACCAATAGTGTATGTTTTCAGAACAATTCTCTAGTGAATCTGTCTCTAGTGAAAATTTTCTCACACTTATGTTAGAGAATACCTCAGAGTGGAATGGCATTTGTATATGTGATCTGAGGAAAAAAATTATATTATTGTTTATCTAACAGACCAATACTTCATCTCTTGCTATTAAGAGATAAGTTTTCTGTTGTTTTCTCACAATTCTTCTCGGTACCAATTACGTTGTGAACCCAAAGAAGTACCTGTGCTAATAGACGGAGTAAAGATGAAATAGAAGTAATATGAACAGTTAAGCAGGTTGACTATGACAGAACTTTTACCTCACTAGCAAAATGCAAAATAAATAAAACTGTAATGAATCCGGTATAATTGATTCCAAATACAAAAAAGACGTATGCTTGGGTTACATGGTTCTTCAAAAAATTCTTGTTGACTTAAGAAGTAGTGTTTTTTCTAGTATATGTATATGCTGATGATATTTGCATTGCCATATTCCAAGGTATCTATTTCTTGGTATTAACTTCTCTAAATTTGTTTCTATTTTTCATAGACTAGTATGAACTTTTTTTGCTCTACAATAAGTCCTCCAAAAAGTCTCAAGCAACATTGACCTTCTTGGAGAACAAGACAAGCGAAATGTTATATCATACTCAAGACTCCAACTATGATACCAAAAAGGCATGATACTGGAAAACTGATCACTAAAAAACCGGTATCATAAGTATTTGTCAAAACTCGTGGGGGGTTCTCAGTCGAAGCTATTCCAGTATCCTACTCTTCTGGCATCATAGAAATTGCCAATATTTAGATGTAATGCACTTGTCAAGCAAATAAAGATATCATGGAAGAGATGCATATTTATGCCCGTAAGGCGATTTAAGATGAGGTGCATTGTGCAGAATCATCAATAATTGGGGCGCTAACTCATTACCCTAATTGATATTGTATTTTCATTTTTAATGAAAAGTTTTTGATTCACTTGAAAAAGAATCACCAATAAACTATTAATTAAATCATGTGAAGTTCAAGCATATTTGTGATACATTGGCTTCCAAAGCAACAAAATATGCACTACAAATGATTGCAATTAATAATTACCCAATGGTTGTTTACTGGGATAGGCCATTTTCGAGAAGAAAATTCATGCCAATGAATACCATGGTGGTTGGTGGAAAACAAAAAATTTCCATCATACTTATGCTTGAATTTGTAACTTTAGTGAGACTACTGAACCACTAAAGCATGTCAGTTCAGAACAAAGCTACTTCTTCATGATAACAAAAAAGAGAGAGGTTTAGATGATTGTAATACCGGAAGTCCAAAAGCCATAGCTTCAATTGTCACTCTCCCAAATGTTTCTCCAAGTCCCTGTGCACCAATCATTGTTAGATGTTTTCAACACATATAAATTAATCTAAATCGGGAGAAATTGATGGATAATTAACAATAGGTAAGAAAAAATGCTTGGAAGCTAATATTTCTGCTGACATAAACAACCTGATTCTCCTTATTAACATACAGGCACGCACAAACATATGGAACTACTAAGAGAAATAGATGTCAAAATAGGATCAGATAGGAGTTATGCGCAATTCATCTTGCCTTGAGAAAACAAAAGTGCATACATTTACCAAGGGGGCTTCATAAGCCATGTCAATTAACATAATTTCTTTCTTCAGCAATAAAATGCATAAATTAGCTGTAAAAATTAAACTGGAACATGTTAATTGATGGAACCAAAATTTATTGAAATCCTAAAATGCTACTTCTATTTTGCAATAGCATTGCTGGATGACTCTGTCAGTTAAGATTATATGCTTGTATCCCTAGAAAACCAAAATGAAATAATTCTATTCTGTGGTTCAGAATGTGACATGAAATTTTAACTAATAAAAGAGAGCTCCACATGTGTTTATGAAGGGTGTGCATCCCTAACAATTACTTTTTCCATAATCTATCTCTCTAGAAATTGGAAAAGAAAAGAAGAGAAAAGAAGAAAATATAGAAAAGTAAAAGGTGGTCTTCCATTATGTACTAAGAGAAGGAATAAGGAAAGAAAGAAAAGGAAGAACACTGACAATATAAACAAAAGAGTAATAGGTTATGAATCCATTAATTTTAGATTATGGGTTATGTTACTACACAATGATGTATGCAACTGAAGAAAATTTTCCACTTTCTTTAGATTTAGGAGCCTGACGACACACTCTGACAGAGGGCACTGTGAAAGATGAGAAAAATATTAAAGAAAGAAAAGAGGAACATCTTTTTTCATATATTGATAAAAAAAACATCTTTTTTCATAATTTCTCTCTATAATCTTACAGTTTCATGACCTAACTCCCCCAAGCATCTTCTGGAACTAGTTTCCTTCTCTCTTATCAATATTATCACATGCATAAAATGCATATTTGAGATAGTGTCAGTACATGTACTTTTTTTTTTAATAAATGAGTAAAATTTTATTAAACCAGCAAATAAGAGACATGCAACCCATGGAAAGGCACGGGATGCGACCTTTTCTTTAAAGCTAGTTACAGAATTATAAGTACAAAAGAAATTACACAGAAGCCCAAAATAAAGTATCCCAGAGAACCCCTTGTTTTGCAAGTGAATCAGCCATTGAGTTTGCTGATCTGCCTACCCACTGAACTTTGTCATATTCCTTGTTAACCATTTAACCTTTCTGAGAAGATCTCTAAAACCCCAAATCACAGTGACCGAATCCTTCAGCCAACCCACTATYACCTGGGAATCCCCTTCAATAATCAGACGCTCTATGCCTAGCTGATTTGCAAGCTGGATTCCTTGTACAGGAGCAAGTAATTCGACCCTTAAAGAGTCTCCCACATCCACAGGACCTGAGTACAAAGATATAATGCTACTATCTTTGTTTGTCAGCACTCCTCCTATGCCTGAAGGTCCTGGATTTCCTCGGCTACTTCCATCAAAGTTCAGCTTGATAAACTCCTCCCCTTGTGGGTGATGCATGTACTGTTTTAGGCTAAAATAACCCTAAGGATCAAGCCTATAGCTTACATAGAATATGTAATAGAAACTTTTAGGTTGTGAAGGATAAGTTTACATGACCTAATTGCTTGTGTAATTGGTTTCAATGACTACTCTCCTTTTGGTAGTAATATGTGCATCACATATAATGCCAGTACATGAGATAAACATGTGGTGTCAGGCAACAATGTTGACAACCTGAGGAGCCAGGAATGTAGATTAGACAGAGAACATAGTGTATGCCCCAGATTTTTGACTTAGGAACCTCACTTGGACTTGGCCAATCAGAAGTTTTGAGTGAAGTATGACATGTTTTAGTAATAACTATGCTGAAATTTTTATGCCTTCCAGAGAAGTAAATTGAAAAAAAAAAAAAAACTCTGGACCTCTTGGAAAGAAGAAACAAAAGTTGATAGAGGGTCTGCAAGGATTTGTAGAACGGTCAAATCTAAAAGAAATTCCCCTGATGGTTTATGGAATTTGAATTGTATGTAAGGGTGAAAGAAAATAGTACCATTAGATCATGTTTCTCTTGTCCTCTGAAGTCAAATCTTTTTGGTGATATGGCATCAGAATGAATGGATGATTTCCAATGTTGTTATGGTGGCCAGGCAATGGCCAAGGTTTTTCTGCTTAGGCAACAAAAAATAAATAAACAATCCCTACAAGTAAAGCACATATGCCTCCCCCCACCACACACACACACACACACAAACAGGTTTTAAGAGTGTGAACTTTTAGCTTAGCGTGCCCTCATATTGACTTGAAATGGGTTACAAATAAACCATCAATGTATTAGGGGGGCATAATTACCTGCCTTATTAAAATGTTTATATCTATGCTGCCTGCCTACTTGTCTCCTTAAGCAGTAGGCCTCCAAAATGCCTAATTGATTTACGATTGCCCAGTTGATGTTTTAATTACACTGTCAAATAACTCTAATCATTATCCTATCAAATGGGGGATCATAGTCTACTTCCTATGAAGTATAGTCACATTTTTAACATCCACTTCCATTTAGGTTCCCATGATTACAGGAAGATGAACACCTAGACAATTTTCTCCTTGATTAATTTTGTGTCCTTAATAAAGCCAAGATGACCAAAATAGACAAATTTCTCCCTGTATAAGGATTTATTTGATGCCACTCTGGTGTCCATGCTAACCTTTGACAATAGATGGAGATAACTTAGATGTCAATAATGACACCGAAGGTCTCCCACCATAATGACATACCAAATGGTATGTCCATGTAAGCCTTCAACAACATTTATACAATTATACACGGAGACTATCCCATCTTGCTATCAGAAGTTAACCAGCTACAAGTTCCTTGAATTTCTATAACCCACATTGGACTGACATCAGAGATTATCTAAGCAACCCCTTACAATCAAACACCATTCAACAGAAAATTCTAAAGCCAGGCCACTGAGTGAATCAGAAGTATAACAAGGTCCTGGTTTTCTACATAAAGAAAACATGGAATTGGCCAATTGGCACCTATGATACCTGAGTTTCTAAGAATGCCCTAAATACAACATGCATTTTGGCTTGTTTTTGAGTGAATATCTTCCTCCTTTGTTAGTAATAAAATTGTAATTTATTAAAAAAAACCATGATACCCATATACCTGCATATACTTGACACAACAGAAGATACTGCATGGACACTTCTACATATACTTTATAGCATTAACACTTCTAAAATATGAACGATGATATCCTTAACAATCAACTAAATTCTGTACATGTTAGTGCTTCAATTAAATTTGGCAAGGCATAAGTTTTGAGGAATGACACTTAGCTTCAAAAACTAGATATAAAAGCATGATATAAGCATAGTATACGGGATGCCCGTATCCTTATGTCCTGGACTTCAGGAAATGGAGAGTCATATTATTGTCTCCTGTATCCATATTTTTGTTGGTATTCTTATATTTTTTTGATAAATAACATGGAATTTCATTATGATTTAAAAGGAAATATATATACAAGCAGAGGAAGGTATTCTTATCTTAATGTCATAGATGGTGAATTTACATTGAGTGAAAAGGAGATTAAAAGACAATCACCTGGGAATTTATAACATAAACATCTGCTGCTGCATAGAGTGAGGCAACATGTGTAGTTGCTGGAGTCCATAACACAGACTTTAAAAGGTGAGGATGTTGAGACAAAAATTTGAGCATTCTTTTAACATAAGGCACTTTATTGCTCTTGGATCCAACAGAACCAATTAAAACTTTAAGAGTCTGTTCCTGTGCTTCTTCTTTGTCAGACAATACTTTCCTTATTTTGTGATCACTGCCAAGGATCCATGCATTTGTGTCATTACTGGAGTCAGGGACATTGAGAGTCCTTGAATGTTTCTTCTTATTTTCATTTGAAGAATTAGATTCATCAGAGGGGTATAATAATCCATTTGAAAATCCATTAATGTGGTTCGGATTCTGAAATAAAGTTCTGAAATGCTTCTTCCCAGTTAAGGTGGAATTATCATGGCCTACTTGAATCATATTTTTAATTCCAGAATCTTCGAGAGAAAAGTTTCCTTCAACCATCAAGTGTGCTGACTCAAGAAGCAAGATGTGACCCTTTCCAGGATTTATACTACTAAGAGACATCACAAGCATATCATACTCTGTTAGTCCCATTTCTTTTCTAACTGCATCTCGCAACAAACGTCTTCTCTCAAGCATTGTCTCAACACTAAATGATGGAGTATTTAGGGAACAAGGAAAACCTGCTACAAACGCCAGTTCATCATTAACAGAAAGTGGAACCAGAGCAGGCTGAGAATTAAGCTTAATGCCTTCTTCTTCACACCAGGCTAGCCATTGTTTAGATTGTAATTCTGAAAGAAAAACAAGCATTTTTACTCTGTTAAGCATCAGCTTTGATCGATCAAAATACTCCCGTCTGTTCTCCATGATCCACCAAACAATTTGACTTGATCCAGCTGCAAAATGTGCAAGATATTGTTCTGAAACAAAAAAAAAAAAAAGTATGGTTTTATCAAATGTTAAGTTATAAACCGCAAGCCAATACTTCATGCAAGGGTAGTTCATTGGATGAAAACATTGGACTTATTTATTGGCTTCTCAGTTGATGATTTGTCTAGGAATTGGAAGGAAATTGCAGATTCAGCCCCAGACAAGAGGGTCTCAAATTCTGTTTGGACCTCTCCTCCTATTGCCTTTACCAAACTGAACTTTGATGGCAGCAGCATGGGCAATCCTGGGCCCTCCAGAATAGGGGGAGTCTTGAGGACGAAAGACTGATTGTTATGGCTATGTTTTTCAGTCCAATTGGAATAGGGGACTCATTGAGGGCTGAGATTTTAGCAGGGCTGATCGGAGGTGGTAATTAGGTGGTTGAAGGAAGACAGCAATGGTTTGTGGAGCTACAGAAATGAAAAGAAAAAATTTAAATGGCCGAGTAGGGATATTGAGGTGAAGTACAGTTGGGTGAAGAGAAGTGCTAATTCCATGGCTGATGGGTTAGCCAAGCAAGGGGTGCTTAAGGATTTTTTGTTTTGGGCCACTTTTTAGCTTTCCTTCTTGTTCTCTGTTGTGGGGGAGTTAAGATATTTTACCTCCCCTCTCTTGTACTCAAAGTTTCACAATTTTTATATTCTAATAAAACATTCTGTTATTGATAAAAAAAAAAAATTTAACAGCTCTGGAAGGGATTCAAAGGGCTAAGGATTTGAACATAAACAAGCTGATCTTAGAAGGAGACTCTGAAACTGTAGTGAATTGGTTAAAAGCAGAAAATTCAAGACCATGGAGCTACAGCAATGAAAAGAGGAAATACAACTGGCTGACAAAAGATATGGAAGTTTGATGCACTTGGATAAAGAGAAGTACAAACTCCTTTGCAGATGGGTTAGCTAGACAAGGGGTGAATAGGAGTTCTGTTTTTTGGGCTCAACTGTAATTTTTTTCTGTATTTTTGGCTTTAGTGGCATTTGTAAGGAGTYAAGTTACTTTAGCTCCAGTTGAATGTTTTTTATCACTTAATCAATTAATGAAATCTCTGCTATTGATTAAAAAAAAAAAAAAAAACCGCAAGGAAATATTTCAAGAAGAAAAACCATTTTCATATTAGTAATGACTAATGAAAATTTTCTCCTTCCAGGTAGATCAAAGAGAAAAAACTTTGGCTGTTGGGGGCCAACAGCCTCTGCTGTTGAGAACATTATTTGAAATTAGAGTGGGGTAAAGTAGTAATTGCTCCTTATTTCTTTTTAACTATAAACATAGACATGGGTGTGAATTGGTGAATGTGTCCAGCCTAAAAACGCTCTCAACAGCATAGGCTGTTAGCCCCCAACAGCCAAAGTTAACTCGATCAAAGAATATAAAACCTTAGACATCCACTCTTACAATATCTAAGTAACTTTTAAATCATTGATAATTTTTTGGTAAGATAGAATATAAAGATCTAACCATGGTTTAAAATGTCAACATATTTCCTGACATTTCCACAAAATGTTGCCATTTCCATGGGTACCAGCACGAAACTTATTAGAATATGTCTTGACATGTTCTCTAATGCTTCAATATTTTTTATATTATTTCAACAAGCTTCATTTTGTTAATTATGTTGATGTAAGGTTTTCAATTTACATCAAAATAGCTATCATCCAAATATTTTTTTTTAATAATGACCATTTTCTTTTTAAACCCATTCTGAATTAAATATTAAAATATATTTTAATAAATTAATATTTAAAATGTTGTAAAACTTTTACAATAAATATACACAAAAATTTCAATATTTCTGACATATTTTTTGTTTTTAAGTGATCAACAATTTCATCAAAATCAACATTTTTTTTATCAGTAACTCATAAAAGGATTTTATTAATTTTAAAAGAAAGCATAAAAACAAAGCATTGTGGAAAATACATAAGACACCAAATGTCTAAACCCCCGAACATATTACAGCTGAGCCCAAAACATACTGTCTCTGAACCCCTTGCTTAACTAGACCATCTGCCAGACTATTGGCAGATCTTCTAATCCAATTAACCTGAATAAACATGCCCCTAGAAAGCCATTTGAAACGCCTAAGGGCATTCCTTAGATGCCAAGATACCCCCTCTCCCTTCTTTAGCCATTCTACTACTGTTTTGGAGTCTCCTTCAATAATTAATCTTTCATCAAAACCAACATTTTAAACTTGATACCGTCAAGTAATATGCAAGTTACTTTTTGCGAAAGATAGTAGACTGAAAATCTGTATTGAAACGGAGTAGAACCAAATTAGGACATGGGTTAGCAATTCATCTACAATAGATACACAGGCATAAATCATTGATGAGTAATTTGGCATAAGACCAGAAGGAATATTTTCATTGATAATGATTATGTTAAGATACAAGGTTCCATGTTGTGCAGAAGAACCCCCCAAAAGCTTACATCCTTCCATGAAAACTAGCTGTTGGATGAATGAAAATGCAAGATGGGCTTTGGAAAAATAACACGACAGACTTATCATCCCAGGAATAGGCATATCTTGAATAAGATGCTTTTGTCATGAAGATACCATAGACCAACTGAAGGGATAATACAGATAAACTTTTGTTTATTTTTTGGTATCTTACTGACATGCATATAGTTAGTTATATAGTTTATAAAGAAAAGTTTTTTATACCATATGTGGATAATCCAGACCATAAATTGGTAGGACCATCTGGATTGGCAATGCCTGCACTAATCCTAATGCAATTTGGTTATCCTGAAGATGTGGTTGGAGGTAAAAAGAATCTGCTATTGGAATGACAAGTAAAGACTTTGTTCCTCTGCTGTTGTTTATATGAATGAAATGTTATGGAGGGATTCTCACTCACCAATCCATGATGCACAAACGGCAGATCCTGCAATGACAAGATCCGCTTTCATGGCCGTTTTGTAGCTGAGCTCCATCTTGTCTTCAAGCACTTTGATTCTTCTTCTAGCAAGCTCTGCCATTAACCCACCTTTCCTGCTAAGAACCACCGCAGAAACTGTGGCTCCGCAGCTCAAGAGTTCAGTTGCCAACTCCATCATTGAAACGGGGGCTCCCGTCATTGAAAGCTCGTGGAATATCAGCACAAAATTTCTAGACCAAACAAGACGCGCGAATTCTCCCTTCCTATCACACGTACCTGATCGCTTCTCGGGGCTCCATCCCAGAATTCTCTCCTCTGTTGAACCAAAAGGACCAACAAGCAATCCATATGAGGTGTTCCTTTTAGGAATCTCCTCTTCTTGCTCTTCCAATCCACTACTTTGATCTTCTACCACAGCCTTCTGTTTCTCACGTGTATTACCATGCAAGCTGCGTGCTGTACCTGTTCTCTTACTCTTCCTTTTCGAGGACGCTCCCCGAGAAGATGAAATTCGCTTCCCCTTTTTCGCCAAGGTCACACTTGTTCTCTTCAATATGGACAGCTTTTTACCTTCCGCCTGATTCTCACTTGAACCAGTATTAACCATAAAAGAATCCTGACTTGTTGATCGCTGATTCACTTCTGGCTCCGAAATTCCAAAACCAGGTTTACTTCTATAACCAATGAGCTCGTCCTTATTATCACCATGACCATGAGCCCATTTGGACTGAACATAAAACCCTAGATAGGCCCAGAGGGTAATCAGAATCAGCCAGAAGACCAAGCGGTTGCTCTTGATCCACAGAAAACGCCCTCCACTGATTCGAGCTTCTCTCCGTGAAGTCCGACTAGAATGCAATCTTCGGAATGAAGGAGAACCCCTTGGAGTAGATCTCCCTGACAATGTGGATTTCAAGCTTCCACTTGGACGTAAGGATGACTGCCTAAGTACATTTCTATGTAAATCTTCTCTGTGGTTGTTCTCCTCCATTAATTCCTCGCACCTTACTTCACTATAAATCGCTTAACCAGCATTCTTTGAAGCAGTTTTCTTCTCCAAACCAGCCGATTACTAATTTTTCCTATATGAACTCAACCACTGTATAACTTCTTTACAGCTCCTCGAATGTAAAACCTACACGAAACAAGAAATCACGCAATATTCTACTTTCTTTAATACAGAGAACTAAAGAAAAAAACAAATAAAAAAACTAAGTTCACCAAAAAATACAAGGATCAATCCGAAGTACTACTTCTGACTGGGTCATTAGCAGATTTTTGAAGAGGAAGCTGCATTAAACAGAAACCGAACAATGTTTCATATTCTCGACTGCAAAACAGCTGAATATGAAGATCCCCCACGAGAATTACCAATTTTCTTAAAGGGTCGATCTCAGAAACAGTTCCCAGTTATCACACGTGAAGCTTAAATCTACTCCAGAAAACAAACAGAAAAAGAAAAGAAGAACAAGAGCATCTGATCCACGAAGCTTAAACCGAAAAAATCTACTTCGATCTTCAACGAAATTGTAACTTAAAAGATGAGAACTCGAGATCTGAAGGGAGTTGCAGAGCAAAGTCCCGAAATCTGAGTAGAAAGAAGAAAAAAGAAAAACGATAAAGTTGGCTGACAGCTGAGAGAGCAGAGAGTTTTCAGTAGTTACTTTGGTACTTACAACTTTATAGGCAGAGAGAAAAAGCTGGGTGTGAAGGGCAGGAGAAAGAGGTCCTTAACGTGCGCACTTGGAGATGCAGAGTGATTGATACAAACAACTCCATAGAGCACTAGCCTGAAGGCCGGAGGAGAAAGACAATAAATTTTCTTGTCTGAATTAATGAAAAAAAAACCATAATAACTAAATTTTCTCGCACGTGCAACTATCACGTATTATAAGGTTTTAGCTTTTTAGGCTTCCGGATCTGCTGCCCACGGGGTAGTGTATTGTGGGTAGGCGTAGGCAGAATTCTCGTGGGCAGGAGATCCGGAATCTTTAGCCTTCGGTTAGAAGTTTCGATCACATGGCAAATGGTTTGCTGCAAGATCAGATTGGCGCCCCACTGGCGTCTCACATCCACATCTCAGCATGTATTGGGATTTGGGAGCCTTCTTGTATTGGGATGGGTTGTGGGGCGCTGATGCGAAAGCGTTTGGAGCCCTAGTGCCTGCTGAAAGGCTCGAAAATTGAATTTACATCTGCGCCCCACAATGTCGCACACGATACTATCAGGTCATCATCGGGAGGTGTTCCCAATACAAGGCAACGATGCGCTGTGGGACGTTGTGGGGCGCAGACCTGAACTCTCGAAACTTGAGTTAAAGTGTAAGATGGATTGAAAGGCCAAGGCCCAAGGGAGAAACTCAAAAACTAAAGAGACAAAACACTATGCCTTTAATTGACCAGGTTTATTGAGGCTTCTCTAGGTTCCAAGCCAAGCCATCCTAGGCTTGGAGGAGTTTGTTAGATGGCAGAGATTTATTAAGGGCTTAATCTGGCGGATTCGCAATGGAAAAAATATTGGTATTTGGAATGATGCGTGGATCCCAAATTTGTTGGAAGGTAGAGTGATCTCTGAGAGGCCTGCTGATTGCATTGTTAATAGAGCATCTGACTTGATTCTCCTAAACCCGCAAAGGTGGAATATCACAATCTTTCACTGTCTCTTCTCTCCGGAGGAAGTTGTTGCTATAAAGAAGATTCCTATTGACTTACATGAATCGGAGGACAGATTGATATGGAAATTTTCTAAGGATGGGGAATATTCTGTCAAAAGTGGTTATTATGTTGCAAAGTTATCCTCTCAAAGGCCATTTCAAGCTGAATCCTCTAATAGGAATAATAAGTATCCTCAGATGCCGCCTGCAGCCTGGAAGAAGGTTTGGAATTCTAAATCCCCCCCAAAAATTAAATATATATATATATATATATATTTTTTTTTTTGTGGCGAGCTATCTCCAATGCTGTTGCAGTTCACCAGCTATTGGCCAAGAAAGGGATGAGGATTTCTGCTCTGTGCCCCCGTTGTGGAGAGGAGGAAGAATCGGTTGCCCATGTACTACTTAAATGTCATTTTGCGAAGGCTGTTTGGTTTGCTAGCAACCTTGCAGTGCGTACAGAGGGGATAGATCACGACTCTTTCTCAGACTGGTTTGCTGAATTGCTGGCCCAGCAGCATGAAATGCCAAATAACCAAGATTGGTTACAGGCCTATTCAGTTTTCTGCTGGGAGATTTGGAAGGCTCGTAATGGGCTGATATTCAATGGTACAATCACCACCCCGAGTCAGGTAGCTGTAAAGAGTTGGAGTTTCATTTCAGAAGCTCAGATCGATCTCTGTTAGTCGACCAGTTCCTTCAGACCCAACTCCAAATATTGAACAGCAAAGAGGATGGTCCCCTTCCCCCCCCCCCGGGGGGGGTGGATAAAGGTTAACGCTCTGGTATTGCTTGTATAGTTAGGGATTCAGAGGGCTGCGTTTTGACAGGTAGATTACCCAAGTGCCTCTGTGCCTAGGTGAAGATGGTAGAAGCCATGGCCTTACGTTTGGGCTGCATGGAGGCCTCGGTGTTTGGATCAATAAAGGTGATTTTTGAAGCAGATTCGCTGGAGGTGATAAATGACATCCGATTGTTTATTAACTCAGCTGCTTCAACCTGTTTATCTTCACTAAATGCAATCTGGAGTGACATTAAAATCTTTGTAACATCTTTTGAATCTGTTAGTTTTCATCATATTCCAAGATTTTGTAATTCCTTGGCGCACACTCTAGCCAAGCGTGCTTTGTGGGAGCTGAGTTTAGACTCTTCCTCCCCTGTTTTCCTATTTAATGGTTTGAATAGAAGCTCTCTTTGATTACCAAAAAGAAATTGACCAAAATATCCCTGTTATAGTGTTATGTTGTCCCGCACGTGCATTGACGAAAAAGCCCACAGAAGGGTTCCCTACCGTATCTACGGATCTACCAACTACGCAAGTAAGTATGAATAAAATATAAATATATGACAAATGTATGCTAAGAAAATATTACAATATATTGACCTATGGCTTTTGATTGTTTGGGTTATGCTTGAGCTGGCCTCGGGTGTCACGTGTCATCTCTGTGGCCGTTTTATCACTTTGGCCACATCGGTATCACGTCAAATGGATAAGCATGACTAAGATAGGAGAGCGTTGTATGGATTAGGAAGATAGCTCCACCAGGGATTAGGCCTTATCCCGAAGATCTCGACGAATGACCTCATCCCGACAATCCCGGAAGCCTCATCTAAATTGGACACGGATTTTCGGCGAATTCACACATTCGCCCCACAATTCCCCACAACACATCCCCTCCGTGTATTGGGAACATCTCTCAATGATGACATCATTGGGACTGGTACTATCATCGGGAGATGTTCCCAATACACGATAGGGATGTGTTGTGGGGCATTGTGGGGCAGAGATGTGATCTCATCTTCGGCTATAAGTAGGTAACATCTGCCCAAGGTAAGGGACTTTGGACTCTCTAGCATCCATATTGCTATTCTGCTCGAACTAGCATTGCTCTCAATTGCTCGTCCGACCACCCACCATTCTGGACTAATTTGAGCGTTGGAGTACCTACCTAGGGAATAACTCCTTGGGCCTCTGACTACTTTCTTGGTTTCAGATCTTGGAGTACAACTTCGTCCAAGGTTTAAAATTTCGATACGATATGCTCGATATGGGGCGTATCGTATTGTATCTTTTAAAAACTGATATAGGATACACATGGAAATCAGATGTTTCATCTTTTTTCATGCGTACCGGGGGTGTATTGTGGCGTATTGGTAGCGTATCAACGAAAATGATATGGCCAAAAACTAAAATAAAAATTAAAGGGGGAAAGCAAACTTCTTTTCCCTGAAATAAGTCTTCTTTCACCCCAAATGACTCTAAAACTCCAAACTTCATTCCTAGAGTGCTAGATTTGCAAGAAACAAGTGTGAATTGTTAATTTTTTTAAAGATTTTTCAAATTTTGAAAATATATGGAAAAATAGGTAAAGTTTTTCAATCTTTTATAATATCTTGTGATTTCTTTTTTTTTTCTTGAATGTTTAAATTTATGTTGATCTACATTTCTTACATTCAAAATCACAATTTTTTTTTTGTGCTATCAGTAGATTTATAGAAATTTCATGAAGATATTTGGGGAAAATATAAATTAACAAAAAATTTAAAAATGTAAGTTTTTTATCTACCTATAAAGAATAAATATGTTTTAGATCTATGGATTTATCTATCATATCCATAGAGCAATTGAAATTTCTTCTTTAATATATATATATATATATATATATATTTTTTACTTTTTTTATATTTTTAGAATTAAAAAATAAAAAATAAATAATTATATTTGATCATAACAATTTAATATATTATAATTCTATGGATGATCTATCATATCCATAGAGCAATTGAAATTTCTTCTTTAATAATTACTTTTTTAATTTTTAGAATTTAAAAATAAATAAATAATTAATTATATGAATATATTATAATTCTATGGATGATCTATCATATCCACAATTATAATTTCTTCTTTAATAACTATTTTTCGGATATATTATATAATTTTTATTTATTTTTTATAATTTTTGAAAATGGATAATAAATAATAATTATTTAAATAATAAATAATTATTAATTATATTTTCACATAGAAGTTGTGCCAATGCATGTTTATGGTTGGATAGGAGAGTTGGGTTTTTTTCATCCCATAAAACATTAAAACTTAAGAATTATAATTTATAAATTATATTTAAGCATAGGATTTTTAATGAAATTATAATTAGATATAATATATTTCTTCATAAAACCATTAAAATATATTAATTTAATTTAATGTATATACACCTCATTGAGGTCTTATATTTAGTGTTATTGATGTATTTTTATGATTTATTAAAGTATTTAAAGTGTTTCCAAGCGTATCTATGTGTATCTTAGTTTTTCTCTGATATGCATGCGTATCCAAGGCATATCCCGATACGTATCTTAAAATTGCCTTTATGATACACTTGGTGTTTTCAATACTTTGAACCTTGGCTTCGTCCTTCCATCTCGGCATCATCCAGTTGACAGGATTATCTGATTACAACCTCAATTTGAAACACCTCATATAGTTAGTAATTAAGCAACACTACTTCTATAATGAAATTTGATTGAATGACTACTGAACAATTAAATATGATAGAGTGGATGGTGAATAATAATTTAATCCAAAAATGAGGTTGTACTATAAATCAGATAGCCAAAAACAATGCAAGGATACTGACATTTTGAACAACTAATCTCTTGGTGTTTGGGAGGGCTGAGCTGAAGATAAGGTTAAACTGGTTTCAGCTGCTTTGAAGCACTCGGATAACCTATTATGTTCAAGTGGACGGTCCTTCAAATTAATGACTGACAGCCGATTTGAGCTCTCCAGAATTTTCATCAAACATAGTTTTTAGGTTTTATGTGTGAGACCCACCTTAAAAGGCCAGAAGTCGTTGTATTTCAACCCTCCCAAACAGGCACCTAGGCACGAATACGGATATGGTCTTAGATCACTCCAGATCTCCTACCCACACACTCTTCCCACATCCCTACCTATAAGATATCACTACCGTGTATATTGAAAACATCTTCCCATGAATGATAAGGGAGATATTTTCAATGCACGTCTATAGTATCGTATGGGTATGAATGTAAAAAGAATTTGTGGGTAGGAGATCCAAACTTGTCTTAGATGGAAAGGGACAGGATATAGTAGAAACAAGATGTTTATAATGGGCTATATAACCTAATAAAGAAGGAATACCTCAGTATTTTATTCATCAAAGTCAATTATTGTAAGAGCCTTAGCCCCACAAGCAATAATGAGACAAGATTGCTAGAGATTGGCTAATAATATTGCTTTTTTTTTGATAAACTTGTCTTATTGATTGAGGCTTTATGTAAAGTAACATTACTTAGGGTTTAACAACTAAGTTTGGAGGCACATTTGGGTGGAGTTTGTTTGGTGGTTGAGGAATTGGAATCTGTTCCTCGTAGAGCCTCTTCACACCAACCTTACAACCACATCCCACTGTGTATTGTTTACATTTCTTCACGAATAATAAATACAAATACGAAAAATGTTCTCAATGTACGGTCAAAACATGCTGTGAGGAGCATATCTGGACTTGTGGTTGAGAAAATTAGGGCCCACCATTGTCAGAGTTAAAATTAGTGATTTCAATCAACCCACACAAGAGAGTGTGTTCTCTTATCATACACGGTTAGTGTGAGTATAAGTTAATAACCATGTCGGCAGCTTATATATGATGTCATGTTGGTCTTAATGAACACTCTTCCTTGCTTGAGAACAACTAGACATATATATTATGGGTGCAATTTGGGCGGCCCCAGAAGCCTGGACCAATTCAGTCCACAATTTTATATGGTTGGACTTTGATTTTCGATGCTTGGACTGGGCCTAAGTCAAAAATTTTGGGTTTCCTACTTTTAGATTAGACTTGGTCCTAGCCCTTAGGAGTTAGGACCAAGCCATCATCCCCTTAACCTCCCAACCCTAGTGACAGTGAGACTTAATCCCAGGTTTCTACTACTATGAGATAGATATCCCACCAACTGAACCACTATTAGTTAGCTTATATCAAGTTGATTGATCAACCTATGTGCATCAAATTTTTATGCAAGTTAGACCTAGATTGGACAGTTTTGATTTGACATCGCTGAGCCCTGGTTTCGGCCTCAGGCCCAATTCTTAGGCTTGGGCATGGTTGATCTTAAATCCGGCCCAGTCCGCCTGACCTTCACCTCTAAAAACATTGAAATGTTTAAAATCTATAAAGTTTAGAAAAAAAAATTGGCCATCTGCGTTCAACAGCCTGAGCTATCGACAGGGCTCCTCGCATGAATAAGTCTAAATGAACTCTTTACAACAATAACAGTAATAACAGTGCTGGATACCTGGTTGTATGGACTAGCGTGATATGTGTAAAGACTAGAGAGCCTGTGGGCAGCACACTGTTGAACGTGGACAGAAAAAAAAAAAAAAAAACTAGGGGACTAGGGGGCACTGGTCGAAATAAATGGTTTTGACCATTATAAGATAGATGGGAATAGCCAATAAGAAGAAAACCAAATCCATCAAAACCCATCGGAGTTCGGCCCAGCATATTCTTTCAACAAATTAGTTGGGCCAAAAGAACTGGACCTGATCTACTGTCTTTCTGAAAGCCTACAGAGTATCGATGTGGCTAGACCATGCAAGATTTTGTCTAAAATGCAAATATGCAATAAGTAAAATCCGGTAAGCTATGGTAATTTAATATATATTTTTTATAACTGTCTTAGGATGTCGACAAATTCAGCTTTACTGAGTTATTAGACACGAGTTTTACTTAGGATGATGCTTTTGGAAATGCAAATGGAGTGTGTTTGGCAACATTACATTTATGCATTGATAATATTACATTTGCATTCTGGTTTATTTTTGTCTATATTTGGCATCATTATATTTATGCATCGACAAATGACAGAAAATATATATTTCAATGCATATTTACATTGACAATAAGATGTAAATGTACATCAATAAAAAAGAAATAAATTTGCATTCAAGTGGATTTTTGATAAAAAAAAGGCATATGTTTCATTGGAATTTGTATCTGTATCCATTACAACCAAAAGTCTATTTGGTAAGAAAGTAAATTTGTCAGTGCAAAACCAATCCAACTTTATAATTTATATGGACCATTTACACTCTACGTATTTGCATTCACACTTATTTTCATCGTTTCCAAACGCAGCCTTATGAATCAGATTTAGATGGAATTTATTATCATTGTTATTTCCTAACAAAATGATCATGAATGTTGTTTAGTTGTGTTGCTACCACCATCTAAGCAGCGAAGCAGGTGCAGCAATACAACACAAATTTCTGTTTAGTAAGAACTAAGAAGCTTCATACCCACTGTGCTCTTAGCAAATGGTATAGAGTTGCTACCATGTTAATGTCAAGTCATTCAACCATTGCAAGTAATGGAGAATCATACAAAAAAATCATCTTTCTCAAGTTTTTTAAAGAACTAAGAAGCTTCATTTAGACAAACAATTCATTCACACTATCTGCAAAAAACGAGCCATAGCAACCAATTAACCAAAACAAACACTAAAATTAATTAAGTAGAGTTTTATGTATTTTAATCCCCTCTGAGTACACAATCATGCTAATCGGTGTGCCATCAGCTGCCGGAAATGGTAGCTCAATCTTGTCACCAAAACCAACGCCGATGACTCTACCAACAACATCAAGCAGCAACTGAGGGGCCGTCGGCTGACGGAAATGGTAGCTCGGTATTGTCATCAAAACCAACGCCGATGACTCTACCAACAACATTAAGCAGCAACTGAGGGGCCGTCAGCTGCGGGTAGTGGTTATCGTTTTCAATGATTTCCAGTGTTGATTCGCCCTTGATCTTGCTCTGCATGTAGCGAGCGACGGATATTGGAATTACAGCGTCGTGGGAAGTCTGAACGATGGTGCATGGGACCTGAACCCTCTCCAGCACATCTCGTACATCGCTCAAGAAGATGGTTTTAGCCAATGAAAGCGCAATTTCTGGTCTCATTCTTCCCAAACATTTCTCATACATCTCCAAGGCCAGAGGGTGTTCTTCACCTATGAGAAGACAGGCGAATTTTGGAACCCATGAGCTGAAGTTGGACTCTATGGTCATGAACATTTGCTCAACAGCTGATCTCTCGAATCCTCCTTCATAGTCTTGTGCATTCAAGTACCTAAGATCAACACAAATAGAAGAAACTTACGTCTGAGAGAGAGAGAGAGAGAGAGAGAGAGAGAGAGGGGATCTGTACCTGGGAGAAGCTCCAAGCAGTATTAACCTCTTGAATAGATCGGGTCTTTTAGTGGACGCAACGCATCCTATCATACCTGACACAGAGTGCCCAATAAATACAGAGGGGCTCAAGTTCAGCTCCTGTACCAGAGCAATGAGATCGTCGGCAAAAGCATCAAATGAAGAATATCTATCAGGGTCGAAGAGATTGAGATGGGCCACGGCGCCTGAAAAGCACCAGTCGAAGACTAAGACACGGCAACATTGAGCCAGGTATGGAAGGATTTTGTCCCATACAGACTGATCTCCTCCATACCCATGTGCAAGAATGACAGTTTCTTTGCCAGAACCCATGATTCTTGCGTTCATGGCGGCAGAGACGGTCATCTTCTCAAGAAGAAGAAGAAGAGATAAAAAGACTGAGACGACTTCTCTGATCGTTTGGTCTCCATATATATGGAAAAGAAGTGCTGTTCAGTAGACAGTAAAATTAATAAACATGTTTTTTAAGACAATTTCGTGTTGGGAAAGAACATTACTGGAACATTGATATATCAATAATTCAAGCCCAGGGTTGGAATTTTATTTTTGATCAAAGGCATGGGTCCTGTACAAAAGTAGCATCAACTGTTGATCTTTTCCAAAATGGTTAAAAAATTCAAGTTCCCAATATCTCTGAACTCGTATAATTAACAAATGAAGAATACCATGACTCATCAAACTTACTAAACTCGATCAATTCGAGTTGGACCGAGTCCTCGCTGATTTTCATCCCTCTTATTTAACCATGACTCTTTTGACAAGGTTGGATGGTCCGAAAATTCAACTCGACAAGCGAAACAAATTTGGGTAAATTACAGATTAGTACCTATAATTTGAGATTTGACTCAATTTATTTTAAAAACATATAATTGATGGCATGTAAAAGGATACAAATACCGTTATGGTCAAAATTGTTTAAATCCCTTTTCGCTATGATTGGTCAGGGGTCCGGTTCCTGAGTTGAACGGTCCAATCTTTCGAACTGAATGGATAGTCCGTTCTGACAAAAAATAAAAAAATAAAAAACGGTCAAAACCAATAAATGGTTCGAATGCCCAAATCAACATTTTTTGGCAAAATTCTGGTTATAGGGAAAAACGGAACCGGTCACCTGATGGTTTCCAGTTTTTCTGATCCGACCGTCCTGTCTGGTCCGGTTTTAAAAACCATACTCCATACTATTCATCACTTTATGCGCTTACTTTTTTTATGGAAGAACTCCTAGAAGTTACATCGCCAGAGAAGACAACGTCCTTATTAGAGAAGAGGGATTTAAATCATTGCCGCTGTAATCCTTTTTTCAGTTATTCAGTCCATAACAAAGGAGAGTTTAGACCGTTTGTTGCTGAAGAAGACAAGTAATTTTTGTTGTTGCTGGGAAGGCAATCAAAGAAAATAGGTCTCAAAAATATTTAAAAGGATAATTTTGATACTTTTAAAAAATTTAAATCATACATATCATCATGTTATACAAATAACTAATAGATTGCTAACTGCTAATACTAAATTCACAATATTTTGAGAGTTTAAATACTACTATAGCAAATTTTGAAGTTTGGGTATTAAAGTGATATTTACTCTCTAATGGAAAAGTGAGTTTAATGGAGAATGCTTGCCGGAAATGAGTGAAAATAAACTTATCACCACCTTCATCGGAATCTGCAGGCCCTTAGTTGATAGGATCTCCCGCTCTTTATAGCAAAGGCCTGGGATCAACTCCCGTTGCCATAGGGTTGGGGGTTAAAGGGATGGGAGATGAATTACTCCGTTGTCTAGTCCGATGAAGCCAATAAATAAATAAACATTGAACCCATCTATTTAGTTTTGGTTAATTTAGAAAAAAGTATAATTAATTGAACCAATCGACTTATATATCTATATATATATATATATATATAATATTTATCGTAGATATAAAAAATCAAAAAATTAAAAAGATTAAAAAATCAAACTGATCAACCGATTAATCAATTGATTGGGTTAAATTTTGGTTCAAAATATATGAACCGTCAGCACCCATCCTAAGTTCCTAACATATGCTTAATTACTTGTGTTTTCGAGCTCGATAGAATTCGATCGAATTGATTGGACAGAAAAGGTCAATTGAGGAGCAGTCGTTCCACTTAAGTGTGGCGGCTCCCAGAAAAAAATTAGTCTCACGAATGAACCAAGATAACTCCAACAGACCTACCTTTCCAGTAGGCGTGGCCCCCACGGCCCCACCCTCGTTCGGTCAACGATATAAGAGCACAAAACTGTAAACCAATAAAATACTCAACTGCATCACCACGGCGTTGCTCTCGCCCCACTTAGATAAATCATGATTTTTAAAATCGATTCGGCGATCAAATCGGTCAGAGGTTTGATTACCGAGTCATTCGACCCGAATGGTGGGGGCCCGTTATAACAAAAAAATTAAAAAATAGTCAAAACCGTTTGAACGGTTTAAACGGTTAACCGTCCGGTTCAATGGTTTGTTGACCAAAATCAACAGTTTTGGAGAAAAATGGAACCGATCAGATGACCTATTCTTGGTTTTCTGGTTTGACCATCCGGTCTGGTCCAGTTTTGAAAACCATGCCATGGTTTTTAAAACCGATCCAGTGACCAAACCAGTCAGGCGTCCGATTACTAGGTCGAACGATCGGCCCATTTTGACAAAAAAATTAAAAAAATTGAAGAACAGTCAAAACCGTTTTAACGATTAACCGGTTGGTTCAGCGATTTGCTGACCAAAATCAACGGTTTTGGGGAAAAACGGTGACCGATTCCTGATTTTTCCGATCCAACTATTTGACCCGGTCCGGTTTTAAAAACCATAAATGATCGAACATTTGGTGGTAGATCCTGAAGCCACATGCCCACATCCACATTGATAACGTTTATCATTGTTTTCGTTAAACATATCATTTTTCTTTTTAAATTAATTTATCTTATGACTCTTTTACCCTTCACATTTTTTTTTTAATTTTTAAAATATACCGTAATTTTCTATTCAGGTACTGGAGTTTCAAATTTTAAAATATACTGGCCAGTTTTTGCTTTGAGAAGATCCCATCTCCAAATATAGACAGTGTAAAACAGCTGTATAACTAATCACAATTGAATTTTTTTTTGTGGGCATTGAAATTGAACGAATAAAAAATCCTTTCTTTCTTTAATGAACACCTTATGCACACATATGGTTTTATTCTGCTATTAGATGGATGTAGGTTTGAGAAATTCAATAGCCCTTATGTAAATCGTGAATGACTCACATATGACTTTGTTCTCCTGCTCACATTTCAAATCACTGTTTGTATCCATATAAAATTAATATAATATATATTAACAAATTCATTCTTGGATCTTATTTATTCTCTCTCTCAACCAAACCAGTTCCTGTTTTCTCCTCCCACATTTCTTCTTTTTTTTTTCTTTCATCTTCTTCCATTTTTTGCCCTAAAAGGTAAAATAGGATTTTAAAATCTTAAATGAATTCACATGTGCATTTTTATTGATGGAGAATATGTTTAAATCAAGTAGGGTCAATTGATAAGGGATATTTAAGTATTTTTGAAAAACTTAGGATACGTTTAAATTAATTTAGGGTAAATTATAAAGACCCCCGTATATTATAGGGTCTCTAATAATGACTCTTCTGTACTTTGTTTTGCGACAAACACCTCTTATACTATGACCATGACTTGAGACAAAGACCCCCTTCCGTGAATCTTTCCTCCAAATAGGCCATTACAGTATTTTTTAATCTCCAAATTATCCTTCTAACGAGAAAAACACTGTTAAGCTTCTCAACTTCACGATACACTAACAGCAGCGGCGGATGGGCGGTAATCCCCTCTACCTCGCCCTTCTGCTGGTTCAATTCAACTATCGCCGTTGACGTACCATGTAAGTTAGCTCGCTTCATATAGAAAAGGGAAAAAGCCCTAGTTTCCACTTCTTCAGAGCTGAAAGTCTGCTAGGCTAGGTCGGGAATGGCTTCTTCGGAACTCGGGAGCCGATTCACGTTTGAGTCTGGTAATTACTCCAGCTGATGTTACTGGAGGAAACACTCCAAGCTAGTTCATGAATGCAAATTTTTAATCTAGAAATTTTCTTCTCCCGAAAAGTTTTCTTCTACTCCCGACGATGCTGAACCGACAGTTCAGTCCCCGGTCCGTTGCACGACGGTGGCCCACTTGAATTCTCTCTCGCTGTGGCCAAAACGATTCTCAGTCCCCTGATCGCTGCTTGTGAATCGGGAGTTCTTAAGATTGCCTATCCGGCTATTGATTGCATCCAGAAGCTGATCGCCCATGGCTACATTCGTGGTGAAGTGGATCCTTCTGGAGGGCCTGAATCCAAACTTCTCTCTCGGATGATGGACTCCGTCTGTAAGTGTCATGACTTGGGCGATGGTGCGGTTGAACTGATGGTACTTAAGACACTGCTCTCAGTTGTTACTTGGATCTCATTGCGGATCCACGGGGATTGCTTATTGCAGATCGTTAGAACTTGTTATGATATCTACTTGGGGAGCAAGAATTTGTTAATCAAACAACTACCAAGGCTTCTCTGATACAAATGCTAGTCATTGTGTTCCGGAGAATGGAGGCCGATTCATCCACTGTTTCTGTTCAGCCTATTGTGGTGGCAGAGCTGCTGGAGCCTGTAGGGAAGTCCAACACGGATGGAAGCATGACACAGTTTGTCCAGGGGTTCATTACCAAGATCATGCAAGACATCGATGTGGTTTTCAATCCTTCCACCCCAGGGAAACCACCGCTGGGTGCCCATGATGGTGCATTTGAGACTACGACCGTCGAAACCACCAACCCGACAGATTTGTTGGATTCAACGGATAAGGACATGTTAGATGCCAAGTATTGGGAAATCAGTATGTATAAGACTGCTTTGGAAGGGAGAAAGGGGACCTGAGCCGGATCTGAAGAAACAATAACGAAGAGAGAGAGAGATCGGGATTGAATTAAATGGGTTCAATCCCAACGCTGTTAAGGGGAAGGGGAAGAAGAGAGATCCGGGGAGAGGGAGAGGGAGAGAGATAGAAATGTGAAGGAATTTGAGGTAAAGGAGATTACCGCCCATCAGAAGGATAGTATGGGGATTAAAAAATACTGTAACGGTCTTTTTGGATGGAAGGCTAATGGAAGGGGGTTTTTGTCTCACGGTCATAATATAGAGGGGGTTTTTGTCGCAAAACAAAGTACAGGGGTCTTTGTCACAGACCCCATAGTACAGTGGTCTTTGTCACAGACGCCATAGTACAGGGGGTCTTTGTAATTTATTCATCAATTTATGTAAATTCAAGGTATGTTTAAATCTTTTACCCTTTTCTTAATGTCAATGAAAACATTAGCACCTGAATTTGTGTAAGAGATAAGCTTAGTTGAATGCAATAGCTGTGGAACTAATAATAATGCTCCAGGCCT